ATAGGAACATGCATAAAGCTCTCTGCATTAGAATAGGAACATGCATAAAGCTCTCTGCATTAGAATAGGAACATGCATAAAGCTCTCTGCATTAGAATAGGAACATGCATAAAGCTCTCTGCATTAGAATAGGAACATGCATAAAGCTCTCTGCATTAGAATAGGAACATGCATAAAGCTCTCTGCATTAGAATAGGAACATGCATAAAGCTCTCTGCATTAGAATAGGAACATGCATAAAGCTCTCTGCATTAGAATAGGAACATGCATAAAGCTCTCTGCATTAGAATAGGAACATGCATAAAGCTCTCTGCATTAGAATAGGAACATGCATAAAGCTCTCTGCAAGCATGCAAATAATCATCTACTCCATGGAAATAAAAAACAAGCAACCTTCACAACAATGGTCAAATATATCAACATTGCCCTAGTGGAATTATTAACACCCACATGATTTACTTTCTTGCCTTCATTTTATGCGTAAAAATAATGAAATTTTCATTTATTTCCATTGATTTACACAACCAGCTCTACACTTTTAAAATGAAAGACAAAATACACAAAATTCATATGAATTAACACTGAAAGAAAACAGATGTATTAACTGCAATGTTCCCTCTAAACTGAGATTGAACTTCACTTGGTTCGCCCCATAAGTTTGCAATATATACAGTGGGGAAAAAAAGTATTTAGTCAGCCACCAATTGTGCAAGTTCTCCCACTTAAAAAGATGAGAGAGGCCTGTAATTTTCATCATAGGTACACGTCAACTATGACAGACAAAATGAGAAAAAAAAATCCAGAAAATCACATTGTAGGATTTTTAATGAATTTATTTGCAAATTATGGTGGAAAAAAAGTATTTGGTCAATAACAAAAGTTTCTCAATACTTTGTTATATACCCTTTGTTGGCAATGACACAGGTCAAACGTTTTCTGTAAGTCTTCACAAGGTTTTCACACACTGTTGCTGGTATTTTGGCCCATTCCTCCATGCAGATCTCCTCTAGAGCAGTGATGTTTTGGGGCTGTCACTGGGCAACACGGACTTTCAACTCCCTCCAAAGATTTTCTATGGGGTTGAGATCTGGAGACTGGCTAGGCCACTCCAGGACCTTGAAACGCTTCTTATGAAGCCACTCCTTCGTTGCCCGGGCGGTGTGTTTGGGATCATTGTCATGCTGAAAGACCCAGCCACGTTTCATCTTCAATGCCCTTGCTGATGGAAGGAGGTTTTCACTCAAAATCTCATGATACATGGCCCCATTCATTCTTTCCTTTACACGGATCAGTCGTCCTTGTCCCTTTGCAGAAAAACAGCTCCAAAGCATGATGTTTCCACCCCCATGCTTCACAGTAGGTATGGTGTTCTTTGGATGCAACTCAGCATTATTTGTCCTCCAAACACGACGAGTTGAGTTTTACCAAAAAGTTATATTTTGGTTTCATCTGACCATATGACATTCTCCCAATCCTCTTCTGGATCATCCAAATGCACTCTAGCTAACTTCAGACGGGCCTGGACATGTACTGGCTTAAGCAGGGGGACACGTCTGGCACTGCAGGATTTGAGTCCCTGGCGGCGTAGTGTGTTACTGATGGTAGGCTTAGTTACTTTGGTCCCAGCTCTCTGTAGGTCATTCACTAGGTCCCCCCGTGTGGTTCTGGGATTTTTGCTCACCGTTCTTGTGATCATTTTGACCCCACGGGGTGAGATCTTGTGTGGAGCCCCAGATCGAGGGAGATTATCAGTGGTCTTGTATGTCTTCCATTTCCTAATAATTGCTCCCACAGTTGATTTCTTCAAACCAAGCTGCTTACCTATTGCAGATTCAGTCTTCCCAGCCTGGTGCAGGTCTACAATTTTGTTTCTGGTGTCCTTTGACAGCTCTTTGGTCTTGGCCATAGTGGAGTTTGGAGTGTGACTGTTTGAGGTTGTGGACAGGTGTCTTTTATACTGATAACAAGTTCAAACAGGTGCCATTAATACAGGTAACGAGTGGAGGACAGAGGAGCCTCTTAAATAAGAAGTTACTGGTCTGTGAGAGCCAGAAATCTTGCTTGTTTGTAGGTGACCAAATACTTATTTTCCACCATAATTTGCAAATAAATTCATTAAAAATCCTACAATGTGATTTTCTGGATTTCTTTTTCTCAATTTGTCTGTCATAGTTGACATGTACCTATGATGAAAATTACAGGCCTCTCTCATCTTTTTAAGTGGGAGAACTTGCACAATTGGTGGCTGACTAAATACTTTTTTCCCCCACTGTAGATAATGGTTTCTCTGATCGAAGCAACATTTTATCAGCCCCTTTTTAAAGCAACAAAAGAAAATAAATCTAACTTTGCAAGATTGAGTCTATGATTTTGTTGTAGAAAGAGCCAGAGCGCAACGGAGTACAATTATATTGCTGGGTAGCCCACAAGCGTCTTTCAATCACCCTGAAGTGAATTTGCTTCTCAGATCAGAGCGCAGAGCCATGGGTGTGCACATTTGTTGATATTCTTTGCTAGTTAGCGAGTTATAGGTACAGTGCATTCGGAAAGTATTCAGGCCCCTTCACCTTTTGTTATGTTACAGCCTTATTCTAAAATGGATTATTGTTTCATTTTCCCATCAATCTACACACAATACCCCATAATGACAAAGCAAAAAAAAGGTTTTACAAAGCACATTTATAAAAATAAATGGAAATATTACATTTACATAAGTATTCAGACCCTTTACTCAGTACTTTGTTGAAGCATCTTTGGCAGCAATTACAGCCTTGAGTATGACGCTACAAGCTTGGAAAACGTGTATTTGGGGAGTTCCTCCCATTCTGCTCTGCAGATCCTCTCAAGTTCTGTGAGGTTGGATGGGGAGCGTCGCTGCACAGCTATTTTCAGGTCTCTGCAAAGATGTTCGATCGTGTTCAAGTCCAGGCTCTGGCTGGGCCACTCAAGGACATTCAGAGACTTATCCCGAAGCCACTCCTGCGTTGTCTTGGCTGTGTGCTTAGGGTCTTTGTCCTACTGGAAGGTGAACCGTCGCCCCAGTCTGAGGTCCTGAGCACTCTGGAGCAGGTTTTAATCAAGGATCACTGTTCTTTGCCCCGTTCATCTTTCCCCTTGATCCGGACTAGTCTCCCAGTCCCTGCCGCTGAAAAACATCACCACAGCATGATGTGCCACCCCCATGCTTTACCGTAGGGATGGAATTGGCCAGGTGATGAGCGGTGCCTGGTTTCCTCCAGATGTGACACTTGGCATTCAGGCCAAAGAGTTCCATATTTTTTTCATCAGACCAGAGAATCTTGTTTATCATGGTCTGAGATTCCTTTAGGTGTCTTTTGGCAAACTCCAAGCGTGCTGTCATGTGCATTTCACTGAGGAGTGGCTTCCTCTGGTCACTCTACCATAAAGGCCTGATTGCTGGAGTGCTGCAGGGATGGTTGTCCTTTTGGAAGGTTCTCCCATCTCCACAGAGGAACTCTGGAGCGCTGTCAAAGTGACCATCGGGTTCTTGGTCACCTCCCTGAACAAAGCCTTTCTCCCCTGATTGCTCATTTTGGCCTGGCGGTTCCAAACTTCTTCCATTTAAGATTGATGGAGGCCACTGTGTTCTTGGGGACCTTCAATGCTGCAGACATTTTTTGGTACCATTCCCCAGATCTGTGCCTCGACGCAATCTTGTCTCGGAGCTCTACGGACAATTCCTTCAACCTCATGGCTTGGTTTTTACTCTGACATACACTGTCAACTGTGGGACCTTATATAGACAGGTGTGTGCCTTTTAAAATCATGTCCAATCAATTGAATTTACCACAGGTGGACTCCAATCAAGTTGTAGAAACATCTCAAGGATCATCAATGGAAACAGGATGCACCCTGAGCTTAATTTCGAGTCTCATAGAAAAGGGTCCGAATACTTAAGTAAATAAGGTATTTCAGTTTTTTTATTTTTAATACATTTGCAAAAATGTCTAAAAACCTGTTTTCGCTTTGTCATTATGGGTAATTGTGTGTAGATTGATGAGGAAAATAATTAATTTAATCTATTTTAGAATAAGGCTGTAAAGTATTGATTTCAAACATACAAAGAGGAAAATGTATGATGTGACTGTGTGAAAGGCTGGTGGACTCGCCTTTTATGCACAAGGTTCGAATCCAGCCAGGCCTCTCGGAAATTCTTGTTTGCTTTTAAAGTGGCAAGCAGCAGTTGTTAAATACATTTTTGGACATAATGATACCTACCCATTGATTCTTGAAGAATATAACCTTTCAATGCCTCATGAACTTATTTCAACTGTCGTACCCCATCAGAACCCAGAATATAAGCTTGTTTTACTCCAATGTTTGTCAACAAAGTAAATGTAAACAAACACTGTATAGCCTCAACATGGTTGAAACTATCATTTTGATACTGATTTTGTGTGCAGTTACTCCCTCTAGTGGCATTGACTTGCTGACCAGCAGGGTCCTCGTTTATCTTGAACCTATGATATTGGTGTTAATATTACTAAATGCAGAGCAATGGAGCTCCTTGTAAAATGCTGCTGAAATCTCTGAATATTTGAGGGGAATACCAGAAATAAATACATGGCTATGTTCTGAGTGTTTGTAGATTCATTTGTGGAAAGCTTGTAGAAAAGGGGGCTCACTGAAAATTTGCTCAGTATAATTTACCCATACTCAAATTTAGCTTTCTAAATGAAACAGAAAATCAAGAAATATATCTAAATGTTCAGCTGGCTAACTTAATGATCCTGCTTTATGGAACAGCCAGGACATTGGGAACTGATGTCCTACACAGTACACACAAAACAATAGGACATAAAACACTTCACTCCATGGTTCTGAAAGACTAAGCTATAGTAAAAGGCAAGAAGCAAATCAAGATTGTGTGTTGTATGGGAGGGCACTTTACCAATAGCAAGGAGACGCAGGTTTTATTGTACAAAGACAGAGCGAGACAAAAGGTGAGAATGAACCAAAAAGGCTTTATTCAATTTAGACCAGAAACAACATGCATAAAGCTCTCTGCAATCATGCAAATGATCATGTTCTCCATGGAAATAAAAAACAAGTAACCGTCATAACAATGGTAAAATAATTTCCCTAGGAAATGTATTCAAACCCACATTTGCCTTTAAATGTAAAAATGCATTAAATTATGCTTTTTATCATTGTTGTACACATCTAGCTCCAACATTTTGAAGTGACATTTTATTTTTAGAAAATTGTAATTAATTAAACTAAAAAACATGTCTTGACATAAGTAACTGCGACCCTTTGTCAGTACTTTGATGGGGAAATTATTGGCGAATTCAGCTGTGAATGTTTTGACTTATTTCTGACTTTGTGACTTACCCCTGATGTCAAATAAAGTGACAACCTTTGCAAAACAAGCAATCCAGCTCTGCTAGCTATAAAAACGCTAAGAAAATGTCAAAATGTTCATCTATGTCAGGGTCTAACACAGAAATCCCCCCAGGTCATGCACCTGTCCTCATTCATGGTGACGTGAATGACATGGTCTTGGTTCAGCCCGCCAGCATCAGTGACCGTCAGATCAATGTAGAAGTTTCTCTGCTCCCTCATGGCCTTGAATGTCAATTCAACCACAGTTCCTGGGACAGGAGAAAAAGGGGACATATTTCAACCTTGAATGTGAAGAATATGTTGATGTTGTCAAAAGAACATGCAGACAAAATGACATACTTGGTCTGTTGATATTATGAATAAAATTCAACAGACTAATGCAGAGTGAATATGTGAAAAGCAATGAACTGTGCACCTGCAGTGCAGTTTTGACACTAAAGGTTGCAAAACCATTAAAAGACATGTCCCCCTATTTCTCACCTGTTTTGTCCATTTGGGCAGTGCAATACATCTTGGACCCTTTCAGAAGTTCTACACTGAAGGGTTCAGCAAAGTTTGGGCCATCTCTGTCTGTCACCGCCAAATGCACTAGACGGGGGTCTTGGTTGCAGAGCTTCAACGGGGTGTCATCAATAGTCGGAGCATTGTCGTTTACATCTTCCAGTTCTATCAGAATGGTTCCAGTTGCAGTTGCAGGGATTTCATCTGATAACCCAAAGCAAGATACTTTTATCAAAAGGAGTAATGAAGAAGTCACAACTAAATCAACCTTGTTCCCAGGCTGAAGCCTGCTGGTGAACGATATTACAACGAAATCAAAATACCACTTTCGATTGCGAGAATGAGAACTCTGTATTTGCCATCTTTGACAAAGGGAGATTCTCTGTCCAGAGGGTGTTTGGTTTTGATCATTCCAGTCTCGCTGTTGATGTCCAGCCATTTAGCAGGATCTCTGTACATGCGATACCTAGAACATACAGTATATTGAGTTAAAATTAGTTAAAGTGTAAACACGATACAAAAACAGAGAACGACTCGTGAAGTCCAGGTAACAATGACCGAACACGGAACAAGAGCCACAAACACAAGGGAAAATTCACAGTATAAATAGGCTCCCAATCAGAACAACCAACGACAGCTGCACTCGTGCCTCTGATTGGGAGTCACTCTAGCCAACATGAAAATAAACACCCAGAATTACCAAACATAGAAATAAACACAAAGAAGAACAGCACCGGCTCAACATTAGAGTCCCAGAGCCAGGGTTGTGACAGTTAAAAATCGCCATTCACAAGTCTTTGTAATCTTAATGCATATTGCATCTGATGTACTTCATCATAACGTGCTTGTTATAATAATGAATTGACTTATCTGCATAATGTACTCTCTACTCCATTTATATACCAGGGCCTCAACTCAATTTAATCATTGCAGATAAAGAAAGATTCATGAACTCACATGAGTTTATGTGCCTGATGTCTGGATCATAGTTATACAGAACCAAGTCACTGTCCACTGGCAGGTGTTCAGATATGGAAACAACCTTTTCCACTGGGTCAAAGACAAGAGGTTCATTCAGATCCTCCACATTCACCTGGACTGTGGCAGTGGAGGTGGGCAGGCGGATGGCAAATGGGACCTCATTCTCCACAGTCACCAACAGGGTGTAGCGATTGTTCTTCTCAAAGTCAAGGGGCTAAACGGGAACGAGATACAGCTAGGTTCATGACACAATGACAAAAACATCAACAATTTTGTCAAATATTTGTATGGTTTGGCTTCTACGATGAAATTCAGACCTCGGTCAAATACATATTTGCTGTAACTCAGTTCCATTCACATACTCATCTGAAAAAAGAAACAAAAAACCAAGCAGGTACCTTGGCTGTAGTAATGATTCCTTCCAGTCTGTTAGGCCCGGTGTTAACAGTGAACAATCCACCTGGGTCTCCATCTACAATCCTGTACACTGTGGCCCAGTTGGAAGAGTGTGGCTCATCTCCATCAATCACTGGCATTTTGACCACCAGAGCATTCACTTTATTCTCTGGGACAGACACCGTGTTCTGAAAAGAAAATACATTTTGAGAACATGTGAGAAGATGTGTTGTATGCCATTTATCAAGTTTATCATATTTTCCTCAAGTCAGATCCTTCAATCAAAATATTTCCCTCTTTAAGTCACCTTTACTGTTTAATGATCAGTACTGTTTGCTGATTGTGCACTTACCGAAGACATCACAAATTGAGGAGCCATGTCATTGACGTCCGTTACCGTAATTATGGATTTTCCGAAAGATGTCAGACCATATCCCTCCATATCAGCAGCTTGGATTTCCAAGGTATATTTTGGAATTTTCTGGAAAATGACACCAGATGGAGCATATTGAGAAATGTAGCGGTTAAGTTAAAATTGCATGCTAGTAGTATAGCCACTAACCTCTCTGTCCAGTCCAGCAGCATTGACCCGAATCCAGCCTGTGACACGGTTGATGACAAACATGTTGGGACTCGGCTGTTCAGGTTTTTGTCTTATAATAGTGTATTTGACATCAGAATTGGCTGAGCCAGGCTCATCTGCATCGGTGGCTGTTACCTCCATGACCTCAAAGCCTGAGAAGAAAATATTTCAACATAATACATTATTTTCATGGATGACATCAAGAAAAAAATATATTGAATATTGATACATTACTTTTATCCTAAACCTCAGCTTATGATATCTGACTAAATGTTGACTGAGACACACCTGGTAGGGATGCTTCAGGGACAATCCCTGTAAAAGGATCTTGGGTGAATACTGGCTTGTTGTCATTCATATCAATTACTTTAACAATAATCTCCATGGGTTCTTCTGCTTTACCCGAACCAACTGCAACAGCATGAGCCACAAGCTAAAGGGGAAAATATTTAATCATTTAATCAAAATAACACATGCATTCAAATTTCTATAATTCAAAAGACAAAACACAAACAGACATTACCATATATTTGTCTTGTTTACAAACATTACCAGATATTTGTCTTGTTTACAAACATTAACATATATTTGTCTTGTTTACAAACATTGCCAGATATTTGTCTTGTTTACAAACATTACCACATAATGGTCTTGTCTCTCTCTGTCCAAAGGCTGGGTCACATAGAGAACCCCAGAGTTTTTGTCCACAGTGAACAGTCCCACAGGGGGTTGATCTGCTCCAGGACCAGTGATGTTGTACTGGATCTTCACATCTTTATCATTGCTGGACCTGATCTGAATGTAAATATTAACAATGTTAAAACCAGAGCAAAATCCTGAACCAACCATATTTCCTGCCAACATAAACCTACAATCACTCACCTGCACCATATTCTTGGGGAAGGGGCCTCTGTCGTTCTCTGGGAAGTTAATGGGAGGAATGATCCAATCCCTTTTCCTTCTCACCAGACCTACCAAAGACTTTGGAAACTCCAGAACTGGAAGACTTGCAGGATATTTAGGCTGTCCGAAAAATATATTTACATGGATGACAACAATGATTAGTTATTGAGGAATGAAACGGACACTAAGTTGTAAGATCCACATTCTCACCTGAGAGACAATGCCAGCATCCTCATGCCCGAAACCCTCTGTGAGGAGATCAAATTAATATTAACACTTTTAAAGCAAACAATGCCACTACAGTATGTTGCTACTACTCTGCATAATGCATATTAAAATGATCTTGATTTGACAAATCTCCTTTATTAGCCAATATTCTAAACAGTAAAATAAGTCACCCTCAGTTTCTTCCCCTCCTGTCAGTGGATAGTCAAAGCCATTGCCTGACTTTAAAGTCTCAGACATTCTCCCCAAGGCCCAACCCTGAGGTTTGAAGGAAAACAAATATTGTAAAACATGATCTACACTTCCCTCCAAATGTTATTGTACAGTGAAGTTAAATGTTTTTATTTGGCTAAACAATCCAGCCTTTTACATTTGAGAGAGAATGTTTAATATTAAGCGACAGTACAGAATGCCAGCTTTTATTTGAGGATATTTTCATACACATCTGTTCCACCGTTTAAAAATGAAAGCACTTTATGTATCTAGTCCCTCCATTTGAAGAAGTCATAAGAATTTGGACAAATTCCCTTATAGTGAATTAAAGTAGGCAAAGTGAAACTACAAAGTTGATGGATGAATTTAAGGTTTCTTTTGGATAATGTTTTGCCCAATAGGAACTGAAAAATATGGCTAGGTTGTAGAATCGAAAGATAATTTAAATACGTGGGTGCTGGTTTTAGGCCGGTAGCAACCACCACAGGGTGTCCGTCCAGAACACGAGGAATCAACATTTCAGTTTCAGGGGGTTTAATAAATGATCCACACACAAACACACATCCAACACCACTCTGAAACTAATTGTGTCTGACAAGGATTGTGGTTCTGAAAACAGAGGTAAAACTTAGACTATAGCACTGATATGCTTAAAATGACTAACAAGCTAGAACAGGCTTGTGTATTAAAGAATGGGCTATACACTGTAGCAGGAAATGTGTGTTCACAGAGGCTATGGAACTTGTAGACATGGTAAACTTAGTAAATATACTAATGTAAACAGTGCAGTATTGTAAGTACATCTACACAACACCAGGACACCCCTTTCCTGCAGTCAAATGGCCAAATCGCCCTCTAGTGGCCTCATGGGTGTAATGTTAATATTTTCATTATTTCAATGAATAAACAATGTTTCTGTATCAAATCAAATCAAATTTTATTGGCCACATGCGCCGAATACAACAGGTGCAGACATTACAGTGAAATGCTTACTTACAGCCCTTAACCAACAGTGCATTTATTTTTAACAAAAAAGTAAAAATAAAACAACAACAAAAAAAGTGTTGAGAAAAAACGAGCAGAAGTAAAATAAAATAACAGTAGGGTACCGGTGCAGAGTCAATGTGCGGGGGCACCGGCTAGTTGAGGTAGTTGAAGTAATATGTACATGTGGGTAGAGCTAAAGAGACTATGCATAAATAATTAACAGAGTAGCAGCAGCGTAAAAGGATGGAGTGGGGGTCAGTGCAAATAGTCCGGGTAGCCATGATTAGCTGTTCAGGAGTCTTATGGCTTGGGGGTAGAAGCTGTTGAGAAGTCTTTTGGACCTAGACTTGGCACTCCGGTACCGCTTGCCGTGCGGTAGCAGAGAGAACAGTCTATGACTAGGGTGGCTGGAGTCTTTGACAATTTTGAGGGCCTTCCTCTGACACCGCCTGGTATAGAGGTCCTGGATGGCAGGAAGCTTGGCCCCAGTGATGTACTGGGCCGTACGCACTACCCTCTGTAGTGCCTTGCGGTCGGAGGCCAAGCAGTTGCCATACCAGGCGGTGATGCAACCAGTCAGGATGATCTCGATGGTGCAGCTGTAGAATTTTTAGAGGATCTGAGGACCCATGCCAAATCTTTTCAGTCTCCTGAGGGGGAATAGACTTTGTCGTGCCCTCTTCACGACTGTCTTGGTGTGTTTGGACCATGATAGTTCGTTGGTGATGTGGACACCAAGGAACTTGAAGCTCTCAACCTGTTCCCCTACAGCCCCGTCGATGAGAATGGGGGTGTGCTCAGTCCTCTTTTTTTTCCTGTAGTCCACAATCATCTCCTTTGTCTTGGTCACGTTGAGGGAGAGGTTGTTATCCTGACACCACACGGCCAGGTCTCTGACCTCCTCCCTATAGGCTGTCTCATCGTTGTCTGTGATCAGGCCTACCACTGTTGTGTCGTCGGCAAACTTAATGATGGTGTTGGAGTCGTGCCTGGCCATGCAGTCATGGGTGAACAGGGAGTACAGGAGGGGACTGAGCACGCACCCCTGAGGGGCCCCCGTGTTGAGGATCAGTGTGGCAGATGTGTTGTTACCTACCCTTACCACCTGGGGGCGGCCTGTCAGGAAGTCCAGGATCCAGTTGCAGAGGGACGTGTTTAGTCCCAGGATCCTTAGCTTAGTGATGAGCTTTGAGGGCACTATGGTGTTGAATGCTGAGCTGTAGTCAATGAATAGCATTATCACGTAGGTGTTCCTCTTGTCCAGGTGGGAAAGGGCAGTGTGGAGTGCAATAGAGATTGCATCATCTGTGGATCTGTTGGGGCGGTATGCAAATTGGAGTGGGTCTAGGGTTTCTGGGATAATGCTGTTGATGTGAGCCATGACCAGCCTTTCAAAGCACTTCATGGCTACAGACGTCAGTGCTACGGGTCGGTAGTCATTTAAGCAGGTTATCTTAGAGTCCTTGGGCACGGGGACTATGGTGGTCTGCTTGAAACATGTTGGTATTACAGACTCAGTCAGGGACATGTTGAAAATGTCAGTGAAGACACTTGCCAGTTGGTCAGCACATGCTCGGAGTACACGTCCTGGAAATCCGTCTGGCCCTGCGGCCTTGTGAATGTTGACCTGCTTAAAAGTCTTACTCACATCGGCTACGGAGAGCGTGATCACATAGTCATCTGGAACAGCTGGTGCTCTCATGGATGCTTCAGTGTTGCTTGCCTCGAAGCGAGCATAGAAGTGGTTTAGCTCGTCTGGAAGTCTTGTGTCACTGGGCAGCTCATGGCTGTGCTTCCCTTTGTAGTCTGTAATAGTTTTCAAGCCCTGCCACATCCGACGAGCGTCAGAGCCAGTGTAGTACGATTCAATCTTAGTCCTGTATTGACTCTTTGCCTGTTTGATGGTTCGTCGGAGGGCATAGCGGGATTTCTTATTAGCATCCGGGTTAGAGTCCCGCTCCTTGAAAGCGGCAGCTCTACCCTTTAGCTCAGTGCGGATGTTTCCTGTAATCCATGGCTTCTGGTTGGGGTATGTATGTACGGTCACTGTGGGGACGACATCATCGATGCACTTATTGATGAAGCCAGTGACTGATGTGGTGTACTCCTCAATGCTATCTGAAGAATCCCGGAGCATGTTCCAGTCTGTGCTAGCAAAACAGTCTTGTAGCTTAGTATCTGCGTCATCTGACCACTTTTTTATTAACCGAGTCACTGGTGCTTCCTGCTTTAGTTTTTGCTTATAAGCAGGAATCAGGAGGATAGAGTTATGGTCAGATTTGCCAAATGGAGGGCGAGGGAGAGCTTTGTATGCGGCTCTGTGTGTGGAGTAAAGGTGGTCTAGAGTTTTTTTTCCTCTGGTTGCACATTTAACATGCTGGTAGAAATGAGGTAGACCGGTTTCCCTGCATTAAAGTCCCCGGCCACTAGGAGTGCTGCATCTGGATGAGCGTTTTCCTGTTGATTTATGGCCTTATACAGCTCATTCAGTGCAATCTTAATGCCAGCATTGGTTTGTGGTGGTAAATAGACAGCTATGAAAAATATAGATGAAAACTCTCTTGGTAAATAGTGTGGTCTACAGCTTATCATAAGATACTCTACCTCAGGCGAGCAAAACCTTGAGACTTCCTTAGTATTTGATTTTGTGCACCAGCTGTTGTTTACAAATATACACAGACCGCCACCCCTTGTCTTACCAGAGTCAGCCGTTCTATTCTGCCGATGTAGCGTATAGCCAGCTAGCTGTATGTTATCCATGTCGTCGTTCAGCCACGACTCGGTGAAACATAAGATATTACAGTTTTTAATGTCCGGTTGGTAGGATAACCGTAATCTTAGGTCATCCAATTTGTTCTCCAATGATTGAAGATTGGCTAATAGGATTGATGGGAGCGGCAGTTTACTCGCTCGCCGTCGGATCCTTACAAGGCACCACGACCTACAGTGGGGAAAAAAGTATTTAGTCAGCCACCAATTGTGCAAGTTCTCCCACTTAAAAAGATGAGAGAGGCCTGTAATTTTCATCATAGGTACACGTCAACTATGACAGACAAAATGAGAAGAAAAAAAATCCAGAAAATCACATTGTAGGATTTTTAATGAATTTATTTGCAAATTATGGTGGAAAAATAAGTATTTGGTCAATAACAAAAGTTTCTCAATACTTTGTTGTATACCCTTTGTTGGCAATGACACAGGTCAAACGTTTTCTGTAAGTCTTCACAAGGTTTTCACACACTGTTGCTGGTATTTTGGCCCATTCCTCCATGCAGATCTCCTCTAGAGCAGTGATGTTTTGGGGCTGTCGCTGGGCAACACGGACTTTCAACTCCCTCCAAAGATTTTCTATGGGGTTGAGATCTGGAGACTGGCTAGGCCACTCCAGGACCTTGAAATGCTTCTTACAAAGCCACTCCTTTGTTGCCCGGGCGGTGTGTTTGGGATCATTGTCATGCTGAAAGACCCAGCCACGTTTCATCTTCAATGCCCTTGCTGATGGAAGGAGGTTTTCACTCAAAATCTCACGATACATGGCCCCATACATTCTTTCCTTTACACGGATCAGTCGTCCTGGTCCCTTTGCAGAAAAACAGCCCCAAAGCATGATGTTTCCACCCCCATGCTTCACAGTAGGTATGGTGTTCTTTGGATGCAACTCAGCATTCTTTGTCCTCCAAACACGATGAGTTGAGTTTTTACCTAAAAGTTATATTTTGGTTCCATCTGACCATATGACATTCTCCCAATCCTCTTCTGGATCATCCAAATGCACTCTAGCAAACTTCAGACGGGCCTGGACATGTACTGGCTTAAGCAGGGGGACACGTCTGGCACTGCAGGATTTGAGTCCCTGGCGGCGTAGTGTGTTACTGATGGTAGGCTTTGTTACTTTGGTCCCAGCTCTCTGCAGGTCATTCACTAGGTCCCCCCGTGTGGTTCTGGGATTTTTGCTCACCTTTCTTGTGATCATTTTGACCCCACGGGGTGAGATCTTACGTGGAGCCCCAGATCGTGGGAGATTATCAGTGGTCTTGTATGTCTTCCATATCCTAATAATTGCTCCCACAGTTGATTTCTTCAAACCAAGCTGCTTACCTATTGCAGATTCAGTCTTCCCAGGCTGGTGCAGGTCTACAATTTTGTTTCTGGTGTCCTTTGACAGCTCTTTGGTCTTGGTCATAGTGGAGTTTGGAGTGTGACTGTTTGAGGTTGTGGACAGGTGTCTTTTATACTGATAACAAGTTCAAACAGGTGCCATTAATACAGGTAACAAGTGGAGGACAGAGGAGCCTCTTAAAGAAGAAGTTACAGGTCTGTGAGAGCCAGAAATCTTGCTTGTTTGTAGGTGACCAAATACTTATTTTCCACCATAATTTGCAAATAAATTCATAAAAAATCCTACAATGTGATTTTCTGGAAAAAAAAATCTCATTTTGTCTGTCATAGTTGACGTGTACCTATTATGAAAATTACAGGCCTCTCTCATCTTTTTAAGTGGGAGAACATGCACAATTGGTGGCTGACTAAATACTTTTTTTCCCCACTGTACGTCCACGATATCTCTGTCTCTTCCTCATGCGAATGACGGGGATTTGGACCTTGTCAGGTGTCTCTAGGATATCCTTCGCGGCCGCCTTGTCAAAGAAAAAACTCTTCGTCCAATACGAGGTGAGTAATCGCTGTCCTGATATCCAGAAGCTCTTTTTGGTTATAAGAGACGATGGCAGAAACATTATGTACAACATAAATTACAAATAACGCGGAAAAACACACATAATAGTACAATTGGTTAGAGGGCTGTAAAACGGCAGCCATCTTCTCCGGCGCCGTTCAGATTTTATCAAACGGTTTTGTTATGTTTCAGTCTTCTGTGATGTATATAAAGTGTAATATTGGTGAACAGGGAACTGAGGGCTAAGATGCTCTGGACCTACTGGGACTATAGGGGCTATAGACTGAGGACCTAGTAGGACAGAGGGTGAGGTGTCACCTACGACAGGATACTGAACACCTCGGTGAGGAGGGTCCTCCACGGGGACGTCAGGCTGGTCTTCCACGGGGACGTCAGGCGAGTCTACCACGGGGACGTCAGGTGGGTCCTCCACGGGGACGTCAGGCGGGTCCTCCACGGGGACGTCAGGCGGGTCCTCCACGGGGACGTCAGGCGGGTCCTCCACGGGGACGTCAGGCGGGTCCTCCACGGGGACGTCAGGCGGGTCTTCCACTGGGACGTCAGGCGGGTCTTCCACGGGGACGTCAGTAGGGTCTCCTAAGGCTGGAACTAGCAGGACACAGTTCAGAGGGGCTAGCATAAACCCCAAGACTTGGACAGGCAGGTCACACCAGGCAGAGATTGACAGGGCCTGGACAGCAGACATGGACCGAGCCACTGCAGCAGAGATTGGAGGGGGCTCCCAGGGCGTCTTTGGACAGCAGCAGGCTGGATGTCAAAGGTTGGACTAGGTGGTTCCCACCAGACAGGGACCAGAGAGGTCTGAGTGGCAGGGCTGGACTTGTTGCCTTCTGCAGCTGCAAGCAGGACTCCCACATTATGGACCAGCTGACATTCGGAGGCATCGGTTGAAGCACAGTGGTAGGGTGCTCTCCCAGGGTCAGCTCAGGTAGCTCCTCTGTTCATAGATAAGGCTGTAGGTCTTCCTGCTCCCGATCGGGCAGGGAGGTTTGGATTGATCTTGGGCACAGAAAAGGGGTCGTCAGAATCTCTGTCGCTGGAGACAGCGACGTCACCACTGTGGGAACCATTTGAGACTGCGGCAGTAGCTTGTTCTACCACGGTGGGGTGCTCCCGCAGGGTGAGCTCAGGTATCTCCTCTGTTCCTGGAGGAGACTGTGGAACCACTCTGGAGACTCCGTGGAAGGAGCTGGATGAAGCACAGAGGTGGGAGTGGCAAGCTGAGGCTCCATGGCAGGAGCGAGTGTAGTAGGCCCCACTACTATCTTGAACTCCATGGTCAAAGCAGGCTAGATCTTCACGGCTGGGGTCGGCTGGCGCACAGTGGTGGGGTGCTCCGCCAGGGTGAGCTCTGGTAGCTCTTCAGGCCTGGAGAAAGCTGTAGCACCACTGTGAGGGAGTCCATAGTAAGGGTTGGATCCGAGACCAGGGCTGATGGTGAAGCTCATGTGGAAGGGTCAAGTGACAACTGGCAGTGTCCTTCAGGTAAGTACTGGCGATGGTAGTCGGGTGGACTGTAGGAACCTTCCATCTTCCTGACTGCTTCAATGAGCTCATCTATCTCGTCACGCTGGCTGTGAGAACACAGTGCGGAACCCGGTGAATTTGCAACCGATGAAAAGGCTGAGGCTCTGTCCTCTATTCTGCTGGTCAGCCTGGGTGGGGACTTGGACCGGTGATGAGTCGTTGAAGGGGAAGATGGCCATTTTGAATGCAGAATGTCTCGAGTGCTCAAGAGAACCCTCTAGCTGCTCTCCCTCGTAGGAGTGGTATGTGGATGTGTGTGGTAGTCTGTTCCTTGACTCGTATCCAAGCCATAATTATCAAGAGATTGTGGCAGGTGAGCTGGTCGGCGAGGATGGATGACATCTTATGGAGGATCTTCTCTGTTAACTGGCATCCTTGGGCTGTAGCAGTTACTGGATCAGGCTCAAAAGGACCATGAAAAATAGGTGGGAAACGTAGGTGCTGGTTTTAGGCCGGTAGCAACCACCACAGGGTGTCCATCCAGAACACGAGGAAACAGTATTTCAGTTTCAAGAGGTTTAATTAATTATCCACACTCACAAATGCAACACCACTCTGTCAGTAATTGTGTCTTAAGAATGATTGTGGTTCTGAAAACAAAGAGGTAAAACTTAGACTATAGCACTGATATGCATGACATGACTAACAATAATAATAATAATATATAATAATAATAATAATAATAATAATAATAATAATAATAATAAGCCATTTAGCAGACGCTTTTATCCAAAGCGACTTACAGTCATGTGTGCATAAATGTTTTACGTATGGGTGGTCCCGGGGATCGAACCCACTACCAATTGAGCTACAGAGGAACACTAGCACAGGCTTGTATATAACAGCACAGGCTATACCACTGTAGCAGGAAATGTGTGTTCACATGGCAATAACCTACACAGGCTATGGAACTTGTAGAAAGAAATATTAAATATACTAATGTAAACAATGCAGTATTGTAAAGACGTCTACACAACATTAACACATTAACCATGAAAGATATACACAGAAAATTGCCTAGCAGCACACATGAGAAATGCGGTTAATCGCTAACAGGAATGCTAAATACTAATGCATTCTGAATGGAAAATCTAATGCTAACGCTAGCGGGAGCATGAGCTAGCTAACAAGCTCCACATAAATGGTGATTACAACAATAGGCAATCTTGAGCTCCGAAAACAACAAAACATAAACATCTTAAGGCACTTACTTTTAGATGCACGCACAGTAAAATATCAGACAACAAATGTGTTGTGACCACAGGAGGCAGAGTAGTAGGAGTCCTCGTCAGGGTAGGGAAAGCACGTTTCTGACATCTGGCCTGCCCGTGCTGGGGTCCTCCACTGAATGTCCCGGCAATTCTACTGTTGATAGGCTGACATAATACTGATTGGTGTGACCTTGACCAATAAGACCTAAAAGAAGTTGGGTCTTGTGAATTAGGAGACTAGGAGCTGGCCGTTTTTACAGGAACTGAATGGTGAATAATGTTTTGTGCCATTTTGGAGTCCATTTTATTGTAAGTAAGAATATAATAGTTTCTGAATACTTCTACATTCATGTGGATGCTACCAGGATTATGGATAATTATGAATGAATCGTAAATTAGAAAAAGGTTACAGAGGCACAAGGATCATACCCCCCCTAAAATGCTTATCTACCCTGTTATTGGTAATGATGAGAGGTTAGCATGTTTTGTTGTAGCCTCTGAAAGGCATCTTACTCATCATTATTCATGATTTATTCATGATTTTTCTTAATCATGGCATTATCAGGACTTATTTTGAAATGTTCAGAAACATCTTAGAAGGAAATTCCAGTCACCATTTACCGTTCAGTTCCTATTGTGCAAAACATAACCCAAAACACAACAAAAACAAACTGCAAACGCATCCAACAAGTTTGTAGAGTCTCAAGCTTGATGTAGTCATTGTGTTCATGGAATATGGGACCAAATACTAAACTTTTGACTACTTTGATACACTATAAGGGAATTTGTCCAAATACTTATGACTTACTCACATGGCGGGGACTAGACAAATAAAGTGCTTTCTGTTCTAAACTGTAAAACAGACGTGTATAAAAGAAAAACTAAAATAAAAGGTGACATTCTGTACTGTCGCCTCATATGACAAATTTGATCTCAAATCCAAAATGCTGTAGTATAGAGCCTAACTTGAATTTTATATTCAATGTCCAAAAACATATGTAGGGGAGTGTACTTCATATGTCACACCAAAGAGGTACAGTATATGATATCATATACATGCATCTTCATATTTATAAATGTTGTTGTAAAGTATATACGCACAAGATATTGGATCATGCACTTGTTTGCCCCACATTCAGAAAAGAGTAAGAACTTCTCATCAACCAGTTTTGCATTCAGTGTCAGTTTGTCACTCCACAACTTCCTGATCAAAACTAGAAGTGACACTCTTCAAAAGACCACATGGTTATGAAGAATGATTGCATTGAGACTGAAAGATATATTGCAAAACGATCACTACCACAGCATTGGAAACTACTTAGATTTGATCACTATGCTTTCAACCATTTTTAAAAGCATAACCAAATTCCAATGGAAAAACAATGTCTGATTTTTGGTTCAGTTGTCACCCAAATGTCTATCACTGCGCTTTCAACCATTTTAAAAGTACAGAAAAGTTCAAATGGGAATACAATGTCAGATATAATGTATATTTATACAACAGATTAATGTGTTATTACTGTGCTTCATCTAATAGCAGAACCAAATGACCTGGATTGGACAACCCTCTGTAGCGCCATGTGATCGAGGCTGGTGCTACTGTCATACCAAGCAGTGATGCAGCCAGTCAATATGCTCTCAATGGTACAGCTGTAGAACCTTTTCAGGATTTGAGGGCCCATGCCAAACTTTTTCAACCTCCTGAGGGGGAAGAGGCACTGTCGCGCCTTCTTCACGACTGTGTGTTTGTTTTTAGACCATTTTAAGTCTTTAGTGATTTGGACACCGAGGAACTTGAAGCTGTCTACCTGCTCAGCTGCCGCCCCGTCGATGTGGATGGGGGTGTGCTTGCCCCCCAATTTCCTGTAGTCCACGATCAGCTCCTTGGTCTTGCTGACGTTAAGGGAGAGGTAGTTGTTCCGGCACCACACTGCCAGGTCACTGACCTCCTCCCTGTAGGCTGACTCATCGTCGCCGGTGATCAGGCCTACCACCGTCGTGCCGTCAGCAAACTTGATAATGGTGTTGGAGTCGTGCGTGGCCACACAGTTGTGGGTGAACAGGGAGTACAGGAGGGGATTAAGCACACACCCCTGTGGGGCCCCTGTGTTAAGGCTCAGCGTGGGGAGGTGATGTTGCCTACCCTCACCACCTGGGGTCGGCCTGTCAGGAAGTCCAGGATCCAGTTGCAGAGGGAGGTGTTTAGACCCAGAGTCCTAAGCTTGGTGACAAGCTTGGAGGGGATAATGGTGTTGAACACTGAACTGTAGTCAATGTACAGGATTCTCACAGCATTCTCACAACAGCATTCTCACAGCATTCTCATCTTACCTAGGTGGGTGAGAGCAGTGTGCAGAGCAATTGAGATTGCATCATCTATGGATCTGTTGGGGCGGTATGCACATTGGAATGGGTCTGGGGTGGCTGGGATGGTGGAGTTAATGTGTGCCATAACCAGTCTTTCAAAGCACTTCATGATTACAGAAGTGAGTGCTACAGGGCGGTAGTCATTGTGTCATGAAGCCTTAGAGTTCTTAGGAACAGGGATGATTGTGGTCATCTTAAAACGTGAGGATTACAGACTGGGACAAGGAGAGGTTGAAATTACCGTGAATATGCCTATCAGCTGTTCTGCGCATGCTAATTAAAGACCCTTCTCACGTCAGCCTCGGAGAGCGAGATCACCCAGTTCTCTGGGTCAGTGACGGCCCTCACACCCGGCTCGATGTTGTTGTTGTCAAAGCGTGCATGAAATGTATTGAGTTAGTCTGGTAGAGAGGCATCGCGGGGCAGATCACGGTTGGGTCTTCCTTTGTAATCCGTAACAGACTGTAGCCCCTGCCACATGCGGCGGGTGTCGGAGCCTGTGTAATATGATTCCACCTTAATCCTATATTGCCCTTTTACTCGTTTGATGACTCTGCAGCGGTCATAGCGGGCCTTCTTGTACTTATTCCTGTCTTTGGCCATAGCATCAGAGTTGTCTACGATA